ATTGTCAAGCATTTTAGACGTACGTACACTCCGAGGGCCAAACATCGACTCGGACCACTATCTTGTTGTAGCCAAGATACGCACCCGCCTCTGTGCAGCAAAAAATGTGCGCCCAACAATGCAAGGAAAGCTTAACGTCGAAAAGCTGCAATCACAACAGACGGCCAATTTATTCGCCACTCGACTCACACACCTGCTCTCTGAGAGCACTCTTCAACAATCTGACATACGCGAGCAGTGGAACCACATTTCACGATCAATAAGTACCGCCGCCGAAGAAATAGTTGGATTTCAGCCAGCCCGAAAGAACAACTGGTACGATGAGGAATGCCAAGGGGCCGCAGAGAAAAAAGATGCCGCCTACAGGGCCACGCTGCGATCGGGCGCAACGCGAGCCATGTGGGACCGTTATAGGGAACTGAAGAAGGAAGCGAGACGTATTTGCCGCAATAAGAAGAGAGAGGCCGAAATACGTGAGTGCGAAGAGCTTGAGATGCTGGCCGACAGGAAGAACGCCCGAAAATTCTACCAGAGGGTTAGGCGACTTACGGAAGGTTTCAAGACCGGGGCGAACTCCTGTAAGAACAACAATGGCGACCTAGTGACCGATGTCCAGAATATACTTAAATTGTGGAGGGAACACTTTTATAACCTACTGAATGGTAGCAGCGCTGAAAGTAGTGAGGAAGACGAACCCGAGTCCCCAGTCGATGATGATGGAGTAGCTGTCCCACCGCCTGACTATGACGAGGTACGTATAGCGATTACGCGGCTGAAAAACAACAAAGCTGCTGGAGCTGACGGCCTGCCAGCCGAGCTATTCAAGTACGGCGGCGAGGAGCTGATGAGGTGCATGCATCAGCTCGTATGCAGAATATGGTCAGATGAACGCATGCCCGACGACTGGAATTTAAGTGTGCTCTGCCCAATCCACAAGAAAGGCGACCCCGCCATACGCGCCAACTACCGCGGAATTAGCCTTCTAAGCATAGGTTACAAGGTCTTATCGAGCGTATTGTGCGAAAGACTGAAGCCCACCGTCAACGAGCTGATTGGACCTTATCAGTGTGGCTTTAGGCCTGGAAAATCCACCATAGATCAGGTATTCACAATACGCCAAATCTTGGAAAAGACCCGCGAGAATAGGATCGACACACACCATCTATTTGTCGATTTCAAAGCCACTTTCGACAGTACGAAGAGAAGTAGCCTTTATGCCGCGATATCTAAATTTGGTATCAACGCGAAACTAATACGGCTATGTAAAATGACGTTGAGCAATGCCACCAGCTCCGTCAGAATAGGGAAGGACCTGTCCTAGCCGTTTGATACCAAATGAGGTTTCAGACAAAGGGACTCCCTTTCGTGTGATTTCTTTAATCTGATGTTGTAGAAGATAATAAGGGCCGCAGAACTGAAGCACTCAGGCACCATACTTTACAAGAGCGTACAATTGCTGGCGTTTGCCGACGACATCGATATTATCGGTAAAAACAAGGGCTACGTCTGTTCTGCCTTCTCGGGATTGGATAGAGAAGCAAAGCGAATGGGTCTGGTGGTGAACGAGGACAAAACGAAGTATTTCCTGTCATCACACAAACAGTCAGAGCATACGCGTCTTGGCATCCACGTAGGGACGTTCCGATACCATCAAAGTATCGACATGTACTTAAATGAGTTTACTCAAATCGCTATTTCGATACTACTTATATGAGTAAAGCGAATGTGCCGATACCTACTTATATCGATAATTTTTCATGCAACAAAGCGAAGATAAATTTTCAGATTTTATCTGTGGCATACCTTTTGCGACGACACCTGAGTGGAAGATCGAAACCAGTTCGAAAACGCCCTTTCTCAGAAAACTTTTCAAAAGCGCTCTAATCAGAATTTGATTAAAAAACGACCTATTTCAGAAAACTTTTCAAGAACACCCTGATTCAGAATTCGTTTCAAAAACGCATATCTCGACTGCCGATTCAAAAACGGCCTACCTCAAATATTTTCAATATACTTTCAGTTTAGGTAAGGGCGTTTTTGGATCAAATTCTGAAATAAGGCGTTCTTGAAAAGTTTTCTGAGATAAGTCGTTTTTTATTCCAATTCTGAAATAGGGCGCCTTTTGAAAAGTTTTCTGAGAAAGGGCGTTTTCGAACTGGCTGCCGAGATAGGTCGATCTTCCACTTAGGTGTAGCAAAAGGTATGTCACAGATAAAGTCTGAAAACTTACCTTCGCTAGGGCGTTTTCGACANTTCTGAAATAAGGCGTTCTTGAAAAGTTTTCTGAGATAAGTCGTTTTTTATTCCAATTCTGAAATAGGGCGCCTTTTGAAAAGTTTTCTGAGAAAGGGCGTTTTCGAACTGGCTGCCGAGATAGGTCGATCTTCCACTTAGGTGTAGCAAAAGGTATGTCACAGATAAAGTCTGAAAACTTACCTTCGCTAGGGCGTTTTCGACATGGCTGCCGAAATAGCTCGATCTTCTTGTAAAAATATATCCACACTTTAGATTTTGGCGGTGCCATTGTTTAAAGCAAAGTTTCTTCCATAGAAAATTATGGCCGACCATATGGCTCTTGCTCAAATCTATTCGATACAACTACTTTTCTTTCGATACCAATTAGGTATCAATTCAACGATTCGAGTAAAAAAAGTAGTTGGTATCGAAACAAAAGTATCGAGTACATACTCGTATTTACTTGTATCGGAACATCCCTACACCCACGTCACTGTTGACAGTTACAAGTTTGAAAAAGTAGACGACTTCGTTTATTTGGAAACCAGCATTAACACCAATAATAATGTCAGCCTTGAAATCCAACGGAGAATCACTCTTGCCAACAAGTGCTACTTTGGGCTGAGTAGGCAATTGAGAAGTAAAGTCCTCTCTCGTCGTACAAAGATCACACTCTATAAGTCACTCATCATGCCTGTGCTGGTGTATGGCGCGGAAGCATGGACAATGAAAGCATCTGATGAGGCGGCTCTTGGAGTTTTCGAGAGAAAGATTCTGCGAAAGATTTACGGACCTTTACGCGTTGGTGATGGCGAATATCGCAGACGATTTAACGATGAGCTGTATGAGCTTTACAACGATATAGACATAGTGCAGCGAATTAAAATTCAGCGGCTCCGCTGGCTTGGCCATGTCGTTCGGATGGACAGAAACGCTCCTGCTCTGAAAATATTCAACGCGGGCCGCGATGCTGGTAACAGAGGAAGAGGAAGGCCTCCTCTGCGTTGGAAAGACCAGGTGGAGAAGGACTTGGCTTCACTTGGCATTTCCAATTGGCGTCAGTTAGCATAGAAGAGAAATGACTGGCGTACTGTTTTGGACTTGGCCAAAATCGCTTAGGCGGTTACAGCGCCAATAAAGAAGAAGAAGATTTTGGAAAAATCTAAAGAAAATTTATAACATCCGAAATTGACCATTGATTTCTATAAAAGTACCTAGTTTTACTCGGAATTGAAACTTCTTTTCGAAGTAACGACTGACGGTGACCATTTTCTTTTGAAATTTTGCAAAAAATAATGTGGAGTGGGAAAAATAATTATAATTTTTTTTAACTCCAGGCTTATTCCAAAAATTTTCCACACATTTACAATGTAGGTACTCACAAAACTTATTATTTCTTTAAACATTACAGATATTCTTCCTTCCAAAGTCTTTTAAATCTTAAAATTGGGTAAAAAATAATAGAGCTAAAAACTGTTTAGTGCGGGAAGACATGTAAAAATGGATTTTTAAGAAAAAGTCGAGAATTTGAGGGTGTTACAAAAATTTTAGACGCAGTTTCGTGAATTGCTCGACCAGCCCTACGACCTGTACTAGGTCACTTAAAAAGTTCATGATCAGTGTAACACCGTGCAATTTAAATTATTTTTATACCCGAGCACACTTGTGCACAATGGTATTATAACTTTGTTGACATAACGGTTGTTTGTAACAGGCAAAACGAATCGAGATAGATATAGACAAATGTATACATAAATGATCAGAATGAAAAGAGAAATCGATTAAGCGGTGACTGTCTGTCCGTCCGTCCGTCTGTGCACACGATAACTCGAGTAAAAATTGAGATATCTTAACGAAACTTGGTACGTGCACTTCTTTCTGGCGTAGGACGGATGGTATTGAAAATGGGCAAAATCGGACAATAACCACACCTACCTCCCATATAACGGTAATTTTCAGAAATACGAAAGCTGCGATATTTTTGTAATTACTGAATAGTATTCACTCAAAATTGGTATTTACAATAACTTTTATACGAAAAATAATAATATTATAAATTATACTTATGGTTACATGTGTACATCTTGGTAACCGCAGCACAAATTTCTTCCAAACTTGGCACAGTTGTTAGCCTTGCTACAGCATACCAAATGGCTGAAAAATTTTAATATCGGACAATAACCACGCCCACATCCCATATAACGGTAATTTGGAGAAGTACGAAATCTTCGATAAATCAGTAAATATTAAAGCTAATTTATTCAAAAATGATGCTTGCAACAATCCTTTACCAAGAAATACGTTTATGATAAAATTTTGGAAAATGGGCGTGGCACCGCCCACTTATCATCACATATATGTGTGGCACCCTGTTGCATTTCGCAACTCCTACCTCACCTCAACTTAATTTCCTTTTTGGAACAACTACTATATTTTTCGACCGATGTTTTTCTTTCTTCTCTTAGGAACGTTCATCTTGCACGGACACGCGGCGACTCTTAACCAACAAAACCAATTTGTAAATTAGCACTTCAATAGTTAGTAAGTGAATATTATTGAATAAACAGAAGTTTAATTAACATAGTCCTTGAAAGCCACGGGTTATTATTTAGCGGAAGATAGCTAGGCACAAAACTTCCCAAAGTGGTGACCCCGAACTCGTGGCCGCGGAAAACCGTAACGGAACTTATTAACTGTTATTAAAGATACATAGTCCGATTATACGATCAATTTGATTAACACACGTGGGGCCTTACCCAACTGAGATGACCAACGACGACACAACCAAACCGGTGGCGACCGATTTGACCACCACTCCCGGGGATGCAGCTCCAGCAAACTTCGTCGCTGCTGTCTACGCTAGACTACCAGTGCCACCGATGGCCAGCGCCAACATCGAGGCGTGGTTTACTACAATGGACTTCTGGTTCACTGCCTCTGGCATCAACACCGACAAGCAGAAGACCGCAACCGTTTTGGCCACGTTGGACCCAAACTTGGTGGGACAGTTGCTCGTCATCGCATCTATGACGCAGCAAGATAAATACGAATTTATTAAGACGAAAAAAATGTTGCCGATAGTGAGCAGCGCCGCCTCAATCGCCTATTGTCCGAGCTGTCCCTCGGCGATAAAAATCCATCGGAACTATTTTACGAAATGAAGCGAGTGGCTGGTAATACACTAGGTGAAGTCGCACTCAAGGGGTTGTGGACTAAACGGCTGCCGGAACTCGCTCAACCTGTGGTCGCTGCATCATCGGGAACCGCCGCCGAATCTACTAAGATTACCGACTCCGTCGTCGATGCGATTGCACCTAGCCAAATTTGCAGGGTTAAGACAGAGCCCTACAGCGAGATAACCCAACTGCGCGCAGCCATCGAAGAGCTAAGCAAGCGGTTCAACAGACTATCAGCGCATTCGCGCTCTCGCTCGCAAACTCGAGGTGGAGAAAAATCAACCCAGCACGTATTCATAAGAAGCAACTCGCGAAATTAGGCAAGTGACTACGCCACTCCCGGAAGCGCGTCAGACAACATATGTTGGTATCATCAAAAGTTTGCATCAAATTCCCGAAGATGCCGAAGCCTGTGTAATTTTAAGCAACGTTCAGTACAGGCAATATCGTCGGTTACAAATGCTAACTTAGCCTGACCTCCACTGCACCGGTCGGTTGTCAGCGAAGGCCCAGACACAAAGCGCTATGTGTTTCGCTTACAAGTGTGCGATAAAGCTTCAAAAACAAATTTTCTCATCGACACCGGAGCAGACGTATCCGTCCTCCCACTCACAGCAAAAACTTTCGACGTCCGACCTACCGCAACGCTCTTATATGCCACCAATGGTTCACCAATAAAGGTAATAGGAGACGAGCTAAAATAGATCTGGGTCTTCGCCGTGTTTTCTACTGGGCGTTCGTGGTCGCCGACGTTACAGCCCCTATAATTGGCGCCGATTTTATTCGCCACTTCAACTTGCTCATAGACTTACGACGCAACCAGTTCATCGACACCATCACGCAACTCAAAACACCACTCATATTGCCAACGTTATGCAACGCAGCTGCAATTAAAACCTTCGATGCAACCAACTTTTTTTCTGACATTTTGTGAGATTTTCCCGACCTCACGAAACTGGCCCCGTATGGCTTCACAACCAAATCATCAATTTTCCACCGCATAGAAACAACAGGCCAGCTGGTTTCATCTCGACCACGTCGCCTTTCGCCCGAAAAGCTGTTGGCAGCACGAAGGGAATTCGATTTGCTACTCAAGGCTGGCATATGCCAACCATCCAGCAGTAACTGGTCGAGTCCATTACATATGGTAGGAAAGAGCGATGGAACATGGCGGCCCTGCGGGGACTACCGCGCCCTCAATGCGCAGACGCTACCAGACAAATATCCTCTGCCTTATTTAACGGATTTCACGAACAACTTACGAGATAAGACAATTTTTTATCAAAAATTGACCTCCAAAAAGCTTTCCATCAGGTCCTAATCCACCCAGACGATGTTGCTAAAACAGCTATTACAACCCATTTCGGATTGTATGAATTTAAATACATGACCTTCGGGCTGTGCAATGCGGCGCAAACCTTTCAACGGTTAACCAACGAGGTTATGCGAGGAATAGACTGTGTGTTTCCATAATAGACGATATTTTTATCGCCTCATTTTCACTTGAACAGCATCGTCGGGACCTGCGTGCCGTTTTCCAACGCCTGCACGAAAGCAAGCTGGCTATTAACTTAAAAAAAAATGTGCGTTCGGTAGAGCGAACTAAAATTTTTGGGGCATCTTGTCGATTCGCAAGGTAATCGTCCATTGCCCGAAAAGGTCGCAATCATTCGAGAGTTCCCGAAACCAATGCTTGCAAAAGATTTAAACAGCTTTCTAGCCATGACTAATTTTTATCGAAAATTTTTGCCACACGCGATAGAGTATCAGTCTGTTTTACAAAGTTTAATTTCCGGTAACAAAAAAACGATCGCACACCCTTAGCCTGGTCTACAGAATCTGACGCTGCATTTGAAAGATGTAAACTGGAACTGGCAAACACAACGTTGTTGGCACACCCCGCACCACATGCTGAACTCTCATTATACGTGGATGCATCAGACACTGGCGTGGGCGCAGCGTTACACCAGAGGATCGATGGGCATCTACAGCCGTTGGGTTTTTACTCAAAGAAACTTACGGGTGCCCAACGAAGGTATAGCACCTACAACCGTGAGCTCACAACCATGTATCAAGCAGTATGCTACTTCCGCTACATGATCGAGGCACGAAAATTTCACATCGTGACTGACCATCGACCGCTTGTTTACGCCTTCCGGCAGAAACTGGAAAAGGCGTCCCCACGACGAGTGCGACAGCTTGACGTAATAGGGCAGTTTACCACAGATATTCGCCATACGCCCGGAAAGGGCGTATCGTAGACTACACCCAGATGGCTGAGACGCAACAGAACTATCCTGAGCTGCAATCCTTGCTCAGTGGTACAGGTACGCAAACATAGCTCGTATTAAAAAAAATTTCAATTCCAGGTAGCAAAACAGCTAATTTGTGACGTGTCCATCACGCATATACGACCTTATGTTCCAAAGACATTTAGAGAGCCTATACTCGCAAAAATTCATAGTTTGTCGCACCCTGGGACCCGTACTATGACCATATGACCGTATGACATATGGCATACGGAAGGATATAGCCTCCTTCGTTCGTAACTGCGTGGCTTGCCAGCGCTCAAAAGTACATCGCCATACCGTGACGTCACCGGCGAAGTATGAACCTCCACGAGAGCGTTTCTCTCATATAAACATCGACATCGTTGGCCCCTTTCCGTTGTGCGAGGGACAGCGATACTGCTTAACGATGATCGACCGTTTCACTCGCTGGCCCGAGGCAGCACCAATGTCTGACATGAGCGCAGAGACCATGGCAAAAGCCCTCCTTTCGCACTGGATATCGAGATTCGTAGTACCTGCTCGAATTTCATCGGACCGGGGGAGACAATTTGAGTCGGCAGTCTTTGCTGAGCTTATTACAGCTATCGGAGCCACTCACCTTCGCACTACGCCTTACCACCCGCAATCGAACGGCAATGTGGAAAGGTGGCACCGCAGCCTTAAAGCAGCGATATTATGCCATGACTCTAACAAGTGGACTTACCACCAGCCATCTATTCTACTCGGGCTACGGGTGGCTATCAAACCGGACATAAATGCTTCACTCACCGAACTGGTTTACGGTACGACGCTGAGGATCCCTGGTGAATTTTTCGATACATGCCCCGGTCCTAAAGAAGTCTCCAGCGACACTGTCACACAATTCCAGTCAGCAATGCAAAATCTCCGCCCAACACAAACGGCACATCATGCAGCAACAAAAACATTCGTTTCAAAAGACTTCCACATAGCATCGCATGTATTTGTGCGAAACAACTCCATACGCCCTTCGCTGTCCAATCCATACGACGGCCCATACCCGGTGATAAGGCGAACTACGAAGTTCTTCACGGTATCAGTACGGGGTCGCAAAGTGAACATCAGTTTAGATCGCCTCAAACCTGCATTCTATGCAAATGAAGACTCATCGAATGAGGTAAATCCTAACATCATAGAAAAAACATCGACGAAAGCTACCCGCAGCGGTAGACACGTCAGACTCCCTCAGCGATACAGGTAGCGTTCGTCTAGCGGGGGAGTACTCTGGCACCCTGTTGCATTTCGCAACTCCTACCTCATCTCAACTTAATTTCCGAAAACCGAAGTTTTTCTTTCTTCTCTTACGAACGTTCATCTTGCACGGACACGCGGCGACTCTTAACCAGCAAAACCAATTTGTAAATTAGCACTTCAATAGTTAGTAAGTGAATATTATTGAATAAACAGAAGTTTAATTAACATAGTCCTTGAAAGCCACGGGTTATTATTTAGCGGAAGATAGCTAGGCACAAAACTTCCCAAATATGTATCTCGGTAACCGTTCTACCAATTTGTACCAAACTCGGTATGGTTATTGTGCTTGCCACATAAAAACAAAATTGAAAATTATTGAAATCGGACTAAAATTGAGGCCGCTTTTCATATAACGGTAAATTTCAGAAATGCTTGAAACTTCAATATTTACAAATTTAAGGACGCCAATTTACTCAAAATTGATACACCCGGCTTACCATGTATTGGTAGCTTTCGGAAAGGTGAAAATCATATATTTAATACTTGCGCCGGGTATTTAATGTTCGGCTCCTCCCGAACTTTGACTTTCTTACTTGTTTCTCATATAGCGTATTATATTCACTAATTTTAGATGGAAGTAATAAGTTCAAATCAAAAAATTTTGTGTATCTTTCGGCAATCATTCTCGGGGATCGAGGAAAATATTGTCCAATAGCGGTATAAATATTGCCTTTCGATAAAAATCTTCAGTGTTAGCTAAACGATAATAAGCCAGAAAATTTGGTATATTCGCTCTACGAGGAAGGACAGTGTCAAAATCCAATTCCTTAGTGGTATCGGTAACTAACGTGGCAATGCAAGCATTTTTATACCCGAGCGCACTTGTGCACTCGTCCGTCCGTGAGATATATCAACGAAATTCGGTACGTAGATTTCCCTTTACCCAAGGTAGGTTGGTATTGAAAATGGGTGAAATCGAACTGTAACCACGTTCACTTCCCATATAACGGTATATTCGAAAAATGCAAAAACTACGATATTTCAGTAAATATTGGATCCAAATTGTTGAAAATTAGTATGTGAAATCGAATTTTAGTAACAAATAGTATTATTATGAAATTTTTGGGAAATGGGCGTGACCCCGCCCACTTATGATGAAATTCTGTATCTCAGCTTCACCAATGCTTCCCGACTTAAAGCTATAGACTTAAAGGAATTAAGCGTGGCACGGCCCACTTTATGACTACAAGGTGTATCTCAGTAGATTTCTTGGTTCAATTATTTCATTAACTCTAATACAGCATATTATCGAAAAAGTTTAAAATTTGCTTGTCATGCAATTGTAGTTTAGAGAAAGGAAACGATGATATTTGCGCCGGGTATATAAAGTTCAGTTTCGCCCGAACTTATACTTCTTTACTTGTTTCTACCCATTTTGCTGTTATCCCCCTGATATGAAATGAATATATTGCGTGAATATTAATGCATTAGACCATTTGTGCGCATTTTAGGAGAAGTGGGCATTATGCTATATTTCATCCCTTTAATCATGTACTACATCGGGGTAATTTATTTATTTATTAAGCCAATAAATAAAAAAAATTCTTATAGGCTAAGTAGACATACGTATTGTTACGATTATCCTCGAAGCCTTGAGGGATTTCCCAAATATACTCGGGCTCGTATCGCTGGATTGTTAAATAAATGCAATCGATGACCAAATTGTAGTGCAATTAACTTTATTGTACAACAAACAATTTACAATACTCGCTAATACAGTAAAAACACTCTACTATACTTGTTAAAGCAATAACAACGCTTTACTAAACTTGTTAACACAATTAAACTTATGGCTTGCTTATTTGCAACTCACTTCTCTGCTCACTTCTCTGCTCACTCGTAACTCGTAACTAACTCACTTCGCTGTGGCGGCGCCCTTATGGCAACTCTAGAACATTCTGAAGTTTATCGCTCATTCTCTTTCTCTCGCTGTTCGCAGTGTTCATTCAACTTGACGTTTCTCTTTGTGGAACATTCTACGTCATTCCTCGAACATTCTGCCTATTTCTCGTTGTTCGCTTTGTGTTGCCGCAGTATTCGCCACACTGCCCTCCACCTAAGTCTGATCGTCCCGATCAGACATACTTGCTGTTCCAAACGTTGCTAGTCTTTCATCTTGGTTCTCGGCCTACCAGCTCTCTGGATTAGATGCACTGCGTCTTTCAGCCGTTTGTCAATCTTAAACGGATCTTTCCAGTGACGATGTTCGGAGGTGAAGCCTTTCTTCGGCTGCGGCATTTGCAACAACACCAAATCGCCTTCCTGTAGCTCCTCTCGGCTCGATGCGTTACTGGACATGGCTTCCATCTTATCTCCGGTTGTGCACCATCTCACATGGTCGTGCTTCTGCCGGCCACTGGTGGTGACCAGACCATGTCTCTTCTCATGGGCACCCTTTTCGCCAGATCTATGCCGCATCATCTGTCCATGACACCCAGACTCCCGCCTTCGTGCTGCACTGCCTTTAGCACATCTTGCTACATCCGGATCCTTACGCTGAAGCTTCCGCCGTCGTTTCGTATCTCGCTCTTCCGCCGATGCTAACTTCATTGACCGGACATGTATAATCTCACCCTTGGCTTCCGGCTTAACTGCTCGCCTTTGCCGACCACCTTTTTCGGGACACTTCAAAGCGCGCCTACTGCTTCCACAGCCGCTTCCATTTCCGGCCACCGGCGTATCACCATTGCAACGTGGTTCAGTGGCCTTCCTCCTGCCGGATACACTGCCTGGCTCGCCATGACCACTACCTTGTTGCGACCTTTTCTTCACTGAGCTAGCGGAACCGTCACGCTTTTCCTGTATCGGTGAACCGCTTCCTTCTCCTGACGAAACCACTCCGTCTCCATCACTGCCAACCTCCGCCCAACTAACCGCTTCCGTTTCTGGTGGAATCTTCGACACTTCCTCTAAGACTAACCGTCTGCTGCAGCACTGGCTGTCGTAACCAACCCTAAGTGGCACTTTCCTGTGACGATCTGTCAGGATCATTCTCTGGAGGTCAATCTTCATGCCTTGGCCAAGTAAGAAATCCACGCCGATGATGACTTCATCCACAATGTCTGCCACTATAAACTTAGTGTACGAGGCCCAATCGTCGATTATTACCTCGCATGGTACTTCTCCTAATACTTGGGTGCATTCACCAGTTGCAGTCTGCAGCTTTGCTCCAGGTAGTGGCTTCACATAAAAAGTGGCCAAATCCGGTCGAATAATGGAATGTGTCGCTCCAGTATCCACTGTCAGTACTCTCTCCTGCCCATTCACACATCCACCAATAGTGAGGTTGCTCGCATTCCGGCCAATTTGTGAGACGGAGATTATGGGCCCTTCAACTTCTGGAGCCAGCACGCGGCCCTTCCTGCTGGCTCGTTTCAGTTTAACGACTGATTGGAGTTGGCTTCGTCTCCTTCAGCCCTGCGTTTGCGTCCTGCTGAATTGTTGAGACCATTGGAACTTGCGCTGCAATCGCGGGCGAAGTGGCCTGACTTTCCACATTTAAAACATTTGCCAGAACCATGCTTTTTCTCGCCCAGCAGTTGGATAATCTTCTTCAGCATTTCATTTGTCTCGTCCGGTGTTTCCACTTCCACGCGATGTGCTTTGTAGGCTGGTCTACTTAGGAGCGCCGCCGTTTCACGCGTCTGAGCATACGAGACAGTTTCAGCAAATGTTGGCTTTGGATTCGCGTACGTCTCTCGCTTGGTATACACGTCCCGCATTCCGTTGATGAACCTCTGGATTTTTACTCTTTCGAGGTGCTCACCAGATGCATCTCCAATTGCCAAATGAGCCAACCTTTCAACCTCGGAGGCGAATTCCTGTAGAGTCTCGTTGGATTTCTGGCAGCGATTCTCCAGCTCCATCTGGTAAATCTGTCTCCTGTGCTCGCTACCATAACGTCTTTCCACTGCACCCATTAACGCATCGTAACTGTTCCTTTCACAATCAGGAATAGTCTGCAAGATTTCCGCTGCAGGTCCTTTTAATGCAACGAACAGTGCAGCGGATTTATCCTCCATGCTCCAGTGATTTGCTGTAGCTGTCTTCTCAAACTGGAGCTTAAAGACTTGGAAAGGAATCGTGCCGTCAAAGGATGGAGTCTTTACCTTGGGCGCGCTGGTCGAAGAAGGTGGGCGATTCAACTGCATATCTCGGAGGCGACCTTCCAACTCTTCTACCTTAGCCTCGACTTTCTCCTGAATTAGCTCTTCGATTTTATCTTGTCGTTCCTCGATTTTATCCTGTCTCTCTCTGAGTTCCGCGTTATCTTTAAATAAATTCTCTTGTAGCTGAGTAATCTTTTCATCTAGCTGCGATGACATGTACGTTTTCTGTGCTTCCAGCTGCGATGACATGCGTGTTTCCTGCACTTGCAGCTGGGATGAAATCTGTGATGACATCTGTGACATGGCAGCCAATAACGTGTTCATGTCCATAGCTGTTGATGAACTTGGAGACTTTTGCTGTTCTTCAACCTTCCCGGATGTCTGCTGCACATCCTTCGACGAACAAGCAGCCTCATCCTTCTGTTCGTCCTTTGCGGATGCATCGTCGGATTTACCCTGGAAGTCGTATTTGTCCACGTCGATGCCTTCAGCTTCCATAGCCTCCCGCAAACGGGATAATAATTCCACTTTTCTTCCGGAGGTGGCCAAATTACGCTTTTCCAACTCCTGTTTCAGTTCCTCAATCTTTAAGTCCTGAATTTTCGCCATTTTCAGTAGTTTATCCTTCGGGATTTATTTAACAATCCCACTTCTGACACCAATTGTTACGATTATCCTCGAAACCTTGAGGGATTTCCCAAATATACTCGGGCTCGTATCGCTGGATTGTTAAATAAATGCTAACGATGACCGAATTGTAGTACAATTAACTTTATTGTACAACAAACAATTTACAATACTTGCTAATACAGTAAAAACACTTTACAATACTTGTTAAAGCAATAACAACGCTTTACTACTTGTTAACACAATTAAACTTATAGCTTGCTTATTCGCAACTCAATTCTCCGCTCACTTTACTTGTAGCTTGCTGACTTGTAACTCATAACTAACTCACTTCGCTGTGGCGGCGCACTTATATACCTGCGCTGGCACCTATGGCAACTCTAGAACATTCTGAAGCTTATCGCTCATTCTCTTTCTCTCGCTGTTCGCAGTGTTCATCCAACTTGACGTTTCTCTTTGTGGAACATTCTACGTCATTCCTCGAACATTCTGCCTATTTCTCGTTGTTCGCTTTGTGTTGCCGCAGTATTCGCCACAGTATGTATTGATAAGTCAAACATTATTTAGAAAAAATAAATAAATTATGACTAAATATACTATTTGTAAAAAGTATTCAAAGATTTAAAAAAGCGATCTTTTGAAAAATTAAAAATTTATCTCAATAAATTTAGAGATTATATTGAACTCAAATAGGGCTCGAGTAATAGAAGCATTTCGAACATAAAGATCTTTAAAAAGACCAACATAGAAAAACTCCGAACTACGAAGGGCTCTAGCCGGAATATTAAAGAAAATCCTCCCAAGGAGCACGGGACAGTCAACATCACCGCGGATCACATCGAAAACGAAAGACAAAGATAGGGTTGATCTTCTGTTCTGCAATGATTTTAAGTTGGTCAATAAGCATCGTGATTCATAG